GACACCAGTGACTTGATCGGGGACATTGTTGACATCACAGGGGACAGTGGTGACATCACAGGGACAGCGATGACATCATTGGGATCAGTGACATCACAGGGGGCTGGTGACAAGAAAGGGATGGCTGTGATGTCACAGGGACATTGGTTAAATCACAGGGACATTGGTGCCACGGCTGGGGACAGTGTTGACATCACAGAGACAGCAGTGACATCATTAAAAACCAGTGACATCACAGGGGACTGGTGACAATTAAAGGACAACTGTGATGCCACAGACCTAACAGTGATGTCACACGGGTCTGGTGACATCACAGGGACATCGGTGACATCACGGGGACAAGGTGCCACTGCTGGGGACAGTGGTGACACCACAGGAAAAACAATGACATCATTGAGGACCAGTGACATCACAGGGGACTGGAGACAATGAAAGGATAGTTGTGATGTCACAGGGAAATCAGTGACATCAAATAGGACATTGATGTCTTCACAAGGGCAGGGGTGAAATTGCAGTGACATCAATGGCATCATTGAGAATATTGGTGAAATCACAGGGCTCTGGTGACATCACAGGAACATTGGTCACATCACAGGGACATGATGCCACCGGTGGGAACAGTGATGGAATCATAGGGACAGCAGTGACATCACTGGGGACCAGTGAGGTTACAGGGGATAGGTGACAACAAAGGGACAGTTGTGATGTCACAGGGACATTGGTGACAATACATGGGACGTAGGTGACTTCACAAGTACAGGGGTGACATCGCAGAGACACCATTTATGTCATCGGGGACATTGCTGACATCACAAGGGCCAACAGTGACATCACAGGGGACTGGTGACATTACAAAGGACTGGTGTCATTACAGGGACATTGGAGAAATCACAGGGACAAGGTGCTGCCACTGATGTCAGTGGTGGTATAAGAGGGATCGCAGTGATATCACTGGGGACGAGTGACATCACAGGGGACTAATGAGAACAAAGGCTAAGCCCTGTTGTCACAGGGTCATCAATGACATCACAGGGAAAGGGATGAAATCACAGAGACAGCAGTGACATCACTGAGGACCAGTGACATCATGGGGGACTGGTGAAAACAAAGGGACAGCCATGATGTCACAGGGACATCGGTAAAGTCAAAAGTATCTGGTGACATCGCAGGGACATTGGTGACCTCATGGGGACATAGTGGTGACATCACAGAGACAGTAGTGACATCACTGGGGACCATTGACATCACAGAGGACTACTGACAACACAGGGAAAGCTGTGATGTTACAGGGACATTGGTGACATCATAGAGGACCTCAGTGACTTCACAAGGTCAAGGGTGACATCACAGAGACATCCCTGACATCATCGGGGTCATTGTTGACATCACAGGGGACAGTGGTGCCATCACAGGGACATTGGTGATATCATTTGGGACCAGTGACACCACATGGGACTGTTGACAACAAAGGGACAGCCATGATGTCACAGGGACATCAATGTCTTCAGAAGGAGAGCGTTGACATTATAGAGATATCAATGAAATCCTCGAGGACATTGGTGACATCACATGGGACAGTGGTGACATCACAGAGACAGAGGTTACATCATTGGGAAACAGTGACATCACAGGAGACTAATAACAACAAAGGGACAGCTGTGATGTCTCAGGCACATCGGCGACATGGCGGTGACATCACAGAGACAGCAGTGACATCATTGGGGACATTGCTGACATCACAGGGGACAGTGATGACACCACAGAGACACCAGTGACATTAACGGGGACATCTGTTACATCACAGGGGACATCGATGACTTCACAAGGCAAGGGGTAACATCACATATACACCAGTGACATTATTGGTGACACTGGTGACATCACAAAGGATAGTGGTGACATCACAGGGGACAGTGGTGACATCACAGGGACATTGGGGACATCACTGGGGACAAGTGACATCACAGGGTTCTGGGGACATCACAGGGACATGCGTGAGATCACGGGGACACGGTGCCACCACTGGGGATAGTTGTGACATCACAGGGAGAGCAGTGACATCACAGGGACATGGTGACATCACAGAGAGACTAGTGACATCACTAGGGAAATTAATGACATCACAGGGGAGAGTGGTGATGTCACAGGGATAGCAGTGGGAACAGTGGTGGAATCATAGGGACAGCAGTGACATCACTGGGGACCACTGAGGTCACAGGGGACAGGTGACAACAAAAGGACAGCATGACAGAGAGAACAGTGACATCATCGGGGTCATTGTTTGCATCACAGCGGACAGTGGTGACATCACAGGGGAATGGGTGACATCACTGGGGACCAGTGACATCACAGGGGACTTCTGACAAGAAAGAGATGGCCATGATGTCACAGGAACTTCACTGACTTTGGTGACATGACGGAGTCCTGGTGCCACAGCTCAGCACAGTGGGAACATCACAGAGAGAGCAGATCATCACTGGGGACATTGTTGACATCACAGGGGACAGTGATGACACCACAGAGACATCAGTGACATTATCGGTGTCACTGGTGACATCAGAGGGGATAGTGGTGACATCACAGGACATGAGTGCTATCACTGGGGTAATCGATGGCTTCAGAAAAACAGCAGTGACATCACAGGGGATATGGGTGACATCACAGGGGACAGTGGTGCCATCACAGGGACATGGATGACATCACTGGGGACCAGAGAAGTCACAGGGGATGGATAACAACAAACGGACAGCTCTGACGTCACAGGGAGATTGCTTACGTCACAGGGGACATCGGTGACTTCACAACGACAGGCGTAACATCACAGAGACACCAGTGACATCACTGGGGACATTGGTGACATCACAAGGGATGGTGATGATGTCACAGGCACATCAGAGAAAACACAGGGGACATCAGTGACTTCACAAGGCCAGGGGTGACATCACAGAGACACCAGTGACATCAGTGGGGACATTAATGACACCACAAGGGACAGTGGTGAAATCACACAGGTATGGGTGATATCACTGGGGACCAGTGACATCCCAGGGAACTGGTGACAGGAAAGGGACAGCTGTGATGTCACAGAGACATCACTGACATCAAAGGCATCCGGTGACATCAGAAAGACATTGTTGATATCACGGGGACCTAGTGCCACCGCTGGGAACAGTGGTGACATCATAAAGACAGCAGTGACATCACTGGGGACCAGTGAGGTCACAGGGGACTGCTGACAACAAAGGGACAGCCGTGATGTCACAGGGACATTGGTGACATCATAGGGGACCTCAGTGACTCCAAAAGGACATGGGTGACATCACAGTGAAACCAGTGACATCATCGGGGTCATTGTTGACATCACTGGGGACAGTGGTGACATCACAGGGAGATGGGTGACATCATTGGGGACAAGTGACATCACAGGAGTCTGTTGAAAACAAAGGGACAGCCGTGATGTCACTGCCATTGGTGACATGATGAGGTTATGGTGCCACGGCTCAGCACAGTATTGACATCACAGAGACAACAGGACATCACTAGGAACATTGTTGACATCACAAGGGACAGTGATGACACCACAGAGACACCAGTGACATTCACGGGGACATCTTTGACATCACAGGGAACATTGATGACTTCACAAGGTCAGAGGTGACATCACAGAGATACCAGTGACATCATCAGAGACATGGGTGACATCACAGGGGACAGTGGTGACATCACAGGGACAGAGGTTACATCACTGGGGAACAGCGACATCACAAGAGACTGATAACAATAAAGGGACAGTAGTGATGTCACAGGCACATCAGTGACATCACGGGGACATGGTGCTACCATTGGGGACAGTGGTGACATCACAGAGACAGCAATGGTGTCATTGGGGACCAGAAATATCACTGGGGACTGGTGACAACAAATGGAAAGCTGTAATGTCACAGGGACATCAACGACATCACAGGGGACCTGGATAACAACACAGAGACACCAGTGATATCATGGGGGACATTGGTGACATCACGGGACAGTGGTGACATGACAGGGACAGCAGTGACATCATTTTGGACCAGTGACATCACAGAAGACTGGTGACAACAAAGGGGCAGCCGTGATCTCTCGAAGACATCAGTGACATCACAGGGGACATCGGTGACTTCACAAGGACAGGGGTGACATTGCAGAGACACCAGTGACATCATCGGTGACACTGGTGACATCACAGGGGACTGGTGACCAGAAATGGACAACCGTGTTGTCACAGGGACATCAGTGACATCAGAGGGGACAGCGGTGACATTATTTGGGACCAGTGACATCACAGGGGACTGGTGACAAAAAAAGACAGCCCTGATGTCACAGGGAAATCAGTGACATGATGGGGACATGGTGCCATGGCTCGGCACAGTGGTGACATCACAGAGACAGCAGGACATCATTGGGGACATTGTTGACATCACAGAGGACAGTGATGACACCACAGAGACACCAGTGACATCACAGGGGACATTGGTGACTTCACAAGGTCATGGCTGACATCATAGAGACACCAGTGACATTATCGGTGTCACTGGTGACATCACAGGGCACCGATGACATCATAGGGACATTGGTGACATCATTGTGGACCAGTGACATCACAGGGAAGTGATGACATTATTGGGGACACAAGGACTAACCCTGGGGACAGCAGTGACATCACAGGGTCATTGGTGACATCAAAGGTACAGTGGTGACATCATACAAACAGTGATGATGTCATTGGGGACATTGATGACATCACTGGAGACCAGTGACATCACAGGGGTCTGGTGACATCACAGGGACAGCAGTGACATTTTGGGGACATGGGGACCACCCTTGGGGACAGCAGTGAAATCACATGGGATAGTGGTGACATCCGTGGAGACAGCAATGACATCACTTGAGACTACTGACATCAAAGGGACAGCAGTGACATCACAGGGACAGTGGTGATATCTGGTGGGACAGTAGTGACATCACTGGAGACACAGGTAGAAGCCGAGCCCCAGCGCCAGGAAGATGAAACCCAACACGAAGCCCCTGACCCCCACCAGGGTCTTGCTGCGGACGGTGTCCTGTGGCATCTCTGGGGGGAGCCGGGGGGGTCAGGACCTCCAAAACCTCCCAGAGACCACCCAAGACCCCCTGAAAACCCTGTCTTGGTCTCCCCCAGCCCCCCCCCCCAGCACTCCCTGAAACCTCCTGCCAGTCTCTTTCCAGCCCCTCGGGGATCCCCAAGGCCCCTCTCATCCCGCTTAGGACCCTCCACCCCCCTCCCATCACCCCCAGGACACCCCTGAACCCCTCCCAGTCCATTCCCACCCCACCTAGCACTTCCCCAACCCACTCCCAGTCACCCCAAGACCCTCCAAACCTCCCTCCCATCCCTCCCAGGCTCACCCAAACTCCCTCCCAGTCTCCCCCAGGACTCCCCACAGCCCCAGTCAGCCCTCCCAGGACCCCTCAACCTCCTCCTCAGCCTCTCCATCGTCCCCCAGAGTGCCTCCCAGTGTCCCCAGTGCTCCCCTGGCCCCCCTGCCAGTGTCCCCCCATGCTGGGGGGGCCGGCCCATACCCCAGTGCCAGCTGAGGGGGTGCTCCAGGCTGACGTGCTCCACCTGGCAGGTGTAGGTGAACCCGCGCCGGGGGGGGATTTCCAGCATCACCAGCACCTGGTAGGTCCAGTCCCCGTTGGGGACCACGTCGGTGGCCACCACGTGCTCCGGCAGCTCCTGCCCATCCTGGAACGACCTCACCTGCACCGGGCAGGGTAGAAATCCATCACGGAGCAGAGCAGGGGCTGGGGCCGGGCTGGGAGCTCGACGGCACCAGCGAGATGGACACGCTGGGGGGCACTGGGAGAGAGGGCAGAGGGCTTGTAGGACATTGATAGGGGTTTGGGTGGCACTGGGAGGGACTGGGAATAGACTGGGGCAGAAGGGGATGGGTTGGGAGGAGCACTGGGGAGAGAGTTGGGAGACGGGGGAGTGAACTGAGAAAGACTGGGAATGGATTGAGAGGGTCTTTGAAGGACTGTGAAGGACTAGGAATGACTGGGAGGGACTGGGAATAATTGAGATGGACTGGGAAGGGTCCGAGCGGGACTGGGAGGCTGTCGTGGAGAGGTAACTCTGCGCTGCCGGTCTGCCAAGCAACTGATGAGTCATCAGAGAAACGCGCTCTGATTGGCTGAGGGAGAGCGGTTTTTCCAGCGGGGTGGAGACGGGGGGGCACTGGAATGGACTGGGATGGACTGGGGGGCACTGGATGGATCGCAATGCAATGAGAGGCAATGGGAGAGGCTGGAATGGACTGGGATGGACTAGGGGGCACTGGGATGGGGCCCAAGGCCGCGGGGATGTATACAGGGAGTGCTGAGGGGTCTGGAGTGATTCCCAGGGAGGGTTTGAGGGGCTCCAGGGTCGTTCCCGGGGCAGGGGAATTCCCGAGGGGACCCGCTCTGCCCCGCGCTCACCTCTGCGGTTCACAAGGAACGGGGTGGACACCTCGTAGTTGTGCCGGCAGTGCCTGTCCACCTCTGACCGTGTGAGCTCCATCCATTCCTGTTGGCTGTTCCAGTACCTGGCCACCTTCTCCCCGTCCGGGGTGTCCCCCACATAGACTCCCACATCGCTGTCGAAGTGCACGAACTGCTGCCGGTTATAGATGAACCTCTCCACGAACCTCACCCGCTCGGTGCCATTGATGAAGTAACACTCGCTGGTAGAGAACAACTGGAACACCGCTGTGTGTGCAGGACACGGGTCAGGGGTGCCCCGTCCCCTCCCATCATCCTCCAGCCCCCCACAGCAGGTCGGTAGCTCAGGGAGCCACCCTGGACCTCCGTTTCCCACCCCCCTCTGCCCCACGGCCGCCGCAGCACCAGCTCTTGGCTGGGGGGGAACCCCCCCAATCAGCCCCCCGGGGATGGACAGGGGGTTGGGGACCCCCAGTGCGGATCTGACGCCCCCCAGAGCCCCAGGGAACCGCTGCAGGGCTCCAGTGATGGGGTACACCGAGGGACCCCCATGGCACCCCTCTTCCTGCTCTCCCACCTCCCTTTTGCCCCTCTCCCACCCCTTTCCCACCGTCCCTCCAATCCCCAGACCCCCCGGCGCTCAGTTTGGGGCTCCCATCCCCCTCCCACTAATTCCGGGGGTTCCAAACCCCCACACACTCACTTTTGGGGCTCCCATCCCCTCTTTTCTCTCCCCTTTTCCCCCTTCCCGCCCCCCCCGCTCACCCGAGAGCTCCTCGCCCGCAACTGGGGGGGCTCCCAGCACCACCAGTACCACCAGTACGGCCCCAGCTCCCCGCACACGCTCCATGCCCAGCGCCAGGCAGGTGCTGATGCCCCAAAACCAGCCGGGCGGGGCCGTTTTGGGGCTGTTTTGGCCGCGCTCTGATTGGCTGAGGGCAAAGTTCGGGGCCAGTTTTTCGTCGCGTCCTCCCGGCAACTGATGAGTCATCAGCGCAACGCGCTTTGATTGGCCAGATCTGCGTGGGAGCTTTCTGATTGGCTGAGGCCGTTGGGGGCGCTGCAGCCCCGGGGGTGGGGGGTTCTGGGGGGTCCGTGGGGTGGACCCGGTTGGGAACAACCCCCGATCTCCCCCCGGGGCCCGAGGGCGGAGCGGGCCCGGTTGGGAACACCCCGCTCGTCTCCGCCGCTGCAGCCGCTGCCCCTGCTCCGGCCGGGCCCGCGGGGGTCGCCGCTCCTGGCGCGGGTGGAGGGGTCGGGCCGGGCCGCGCCCGCTGTTCCAGTCCGGTCTGGGGCTGCCACGGGGTTCTTTAGAGGATGGCTTCGAGGGCGAGATTAAGGCACAAAACTCCAGATGTTAGGTCTCAAACAGACAATTTGCTTTATTGGTAACAACAAGTAACAGGGAAAAGCGGGGGGCGGGGAGGAGAGAGAGAGAAGGAAAAGGAAAGGCTGCAAAAGGAAAATGCTAAAAGTTACCAGTACCAGTGAGAGAAGCGGGTGTAGTCAGCCTCAGGCAGTCAGGGAAGGGCCGTTGGAGGGAAGCAGGGAGTGAGCAGACTGGATCCGAGACAACCAGGAGACGCAGGCAGGTGGGACACGAGCAGGACAGAGCGAGCAGTGGGGCCCGCAGCCAGCACGGGACCCTGGACAACACCGCCTGCATTGGACTGGACCCTCGGGCAACGCTGGGCACTGCCATAAACACCCCCCGGTGGGCGCTGAGCGACCAGCTTGGCTCCGGGCAGAGCTTTGCAGGGTGTCGGGGGTTGAGCTGCTGGTACCCAGGCAGGCTGGCTCTGCCAAGGCGGGAAAATGGACCAGCTTTGTGTTGGAGACTCTCTGGCATCCGCCCGTCCCTCGGGGCCACTCTTTCGGTGACACGGGTTTGCAGCTTTTTATTCTATTTATTTTACTGTATTCTCTGTACTTTATTCGATCCCCACCCATCCCCCGGGGCCGCACTTTCAGCGGACGGGGCAGCAGAGTCCCCTCGGGGCCATTCATCGCTCCCTCACACCCCCCGGGGCCGCCCCAGTGCTCCCTCAGTGCAGCTCTATTAGGTACCAGGTGATGGAAACCCCTCGACACAGGTATTTTATTCCATTTATTTTATTCTCTATATTTCATTCTATTTACACCTGGCAGGTCCTGCCCTGCAACTCTTTCAGTGACACGGAGCGGCGATGACCCCCTGGTGAGGTTCTTGTATTGTATTTTATTCTCTGTATTTTATTCCCTTCACACCTCCCGTCCCTCGCTGTCGCCCTTTTGTAGCCACCCCATGATGCGGCTTTTTCAGGGACACTGAACATCGTCCGGCCTGCCCAGTGCTGCCCCACCGGTCCCTCGGTGCGACTCTTCTTGATACTGGGTGGCGGGACCCTCTTGGAGAGGCTTTTTATTCTCTTTTATTCTCTGTAGTTAATTCTATTCCCACCTCGCCCTGCCCTCGGTGCATCCCTTTGACGACACCCGACAGTGGGTCCCTTGGTGCAGCTCTTTCATTGACTTGGGGTGGCTTCTTTAGTGTATTTAATTCTCTCCTCTATTTGATTCCATTCACGCTTCCCTCGCCGCAGCCAGGGTCACCATTTCCCGGCCGCCACTCCTTGCTCGTCCCTCGGGGCAGCTCTTTTACATACAGGGCAGCGGAGGCTCCCCTGGGGCAGCTTTTTTACTCTACTTTGGTTTATTCTCTGCATTTTATTCTGTTCTGATCTCGCTCCCTTCCCTGGCGACACCCCCCAGGGCCCGTCCCGGGGCAGCTCTTCAGTGCCAGGGGACGGCGGGGCCCCCCCAGGGCCCATCCTGGGGCAGCTCTTCAGTGCCAGGGGACGGCGGGGCCCCCCCAGGGCCGATCCCTCTCGCATTCACTTCAGTCTCCACTTTGTTTTCCCAGCCCGCCTGTCCCGGGGCGGCTCTTCTGTACTCGTGTCTCTTTTCAGACAGTTCTGGCATTTCATTGATCGATTCCCCACATTTTATGCCTGTTTAATGATATTTTATTGATTGTCTCGGAGATCAGGATCAACATCTGGATCCTTCCGGCCATGGTGCTTTCCAAGGAGAGCAGGAGACAGGCAGAGCCGGGAGAACCAGCCTGTGATCACCCAGTGCCACCTGGGAGAGATGTCGGAGAGCAAAGCCTCCCTTCAGGTTGGAAGGAAACTCTGCATTTCGTGAGCTGCCTGGACAAAGTGTGCCCACAGCTGTGTGGGAAGCTGACAGGAGGGAATAACATTCCCAAGCACCTGCATATCTGCTCTGAAGGAATGACTGTCTGCAGGTTGAGACACTTCTTAGTTTGACCATTCAGCTACTTTAATAAAGCCTTCAGTTGAAGATATTTGTTTTATCAGGAGCTCCTGGTACCTCCAAAAGCCAGGTCAGGATTGCCAACAATTTCCTTTCCTATGTGGATATAATTACTTGGCAGGATTCTGTTGAGGAGTCTGATGCTCTGTATCAAGACATTCCTGGAATAGTATTCCAAGGAGCATCCCAAGCAATTAAAGAATCAGGAATAATTGTGGTCCTTGGCTTTCAAACATGAAAAAGCAGGAAGTTGATCCATCAGGAAGAGAGACAGGGTGGGTGGGAGCAGTGGATAGAACTGACAACAGATTCCAACCAGGGGCAGCACCAACCAGAGGAGACACCACCCCCTGAGGCAGAGTGTGGTCCCCACACAGCCTGGGAAGGAGGTTCCCCTCCCGAGGGAACTGTCCCCAGACCAGCCCTATTTCCTTAAAAAGGACCCTGTGCAGCTCTGGGGGGAATCGTTGCCAGGGGGTTTAATCCGTGGAAAGAGATAACGGATGAGGGGCAAGCTCTGGGGGGTGTCCATGTATTTGTTAGAAAAACAAACTAAAAGTTTGGGGCCTGACATTCTTCAGTGGTCCCAGACTGGGAGAGAAATTCATTGTTTAGAGCTGGACAAGGAGAATGCATGATTTATAAACCACCAGGACACATCACAGGAACCAGAGATGTCCTGTCTGGGGAAAAGGGAATAAAAGGGACTGAAAAATGTGCACCAACCATCAAGAGAAGTGAGAGATCAATAACCAACAAAGGATAGAACACTAATTAAGGAAGAGAACCACATAGCTTGTAGCCAATGAACACTAATTCCTTTCTTCACTGAAATGTATAAAGAGTTCAAAGTTTTGGTAACTGTACATGTTTTTTGGAGTTACCCCCATGCACCTTAACAGTGATTCAAGTAATTAGAGTTGATTAATGTCAGCTTTCCAACCCCACAAACTGTTCAGAAAGTTTATTTCCTGGTTTTCAGTGACAGTCCCAAAGGCCACCTTTCCTTTCTCAGCTCAGCAGCTGGAACAGGTTTTATTGACAGAATCAGTAAATATTGACCAATGGAAAGTCAAAGCCAATATTTACTCTGAGTTTTCCTAAATCCAAGTGTTTACAGTGAGTGAAATGCAAAGTGCTGACCCACAGATTCCCCTCTGTGACACTGCCTGTGCCCAGGGCCAGGGATTCTCCAAACCTGATTCCCAGACATTCCCAAAGAAGGGGCTTCCTGTGGCTGTGGCCTTGAGCAAGGGACTGACCTTTATATTAAACCAACTCCTGGAGAGACAAATGAAATTACAGGTGCAGAAACCTGGAGACTGGGGGGTCAGTCAGCAGTCTGACCTAGAGATGAGATCCCTTCTTTGCAAATAAACTCGGGGAGGAGACCAAAGAGAAATTCATTCTCTGTTGGAAAGGAAATGTCAACGTCTCAGGAAATCAGTGAATCCCAGCATGGTTTGGGTTGGAAGGGACTTCTAAAGCCCATCGAGTCCAAGTCCCCGCACTGAGCAGGGACACCCTCACTGGGATCAGGCTGCTCTGAGCCCCATCCAACCTGGCCTGCAATGATTCCAGGGATGGGGCAGCCACAGCTTCTCTGGGCAACCTGGGCCATGTTTCACCATCCTCATAAAACCTTCTCCCTCATATCCAGTCTGAATCCACTTTCTTTGAGTTTGAAACCACCATCCCTTGTCCTGTCCCTCCATCCCTTGTCCCCAGTCCCCCTCCAGCTCTCCTGGAGCCCCTTTAGGCTCTGGAAGGGGCTCCAAGGTCTCCCTGGAACCTTCCCTTCTCCAGGTGAGCACACCCAGCTGTCCCAGTCTGGCTCCAGAGCAGAGGGGCTCCAGCTCTGGGAGCAGCTCCAGGGCCTCCTCTGGACTCTCTCCAGCAGCTCCACATCCTCCTGCTGTTGGATCCCAGAGCTGGAGGCAGCTCTGCAGGTGGGGTCTCACCTCAGGGGGCAGAATTCCCCCCTTCCTGCTGTGGGATCAGCCCAGGACACAGGGGGGTTTCTGGGATGGGACATGTCCAGCCCCTCACCCACCAACACCCCAGGTCCTTCTCCCAAGGCTGCTCCCGATCCCTTCATGCCCATCCTGGACTGATCCTGGGGATTGCCTGACCCAGGATCACATCCCCTCCTTTCTTGCCTGACCCTTCTGAACAACCTCCACTCCTGGTGTCTCCATCCCTGTCCCCCTTCCCATTCCTGGTGTTCCCATCCTAGTCCTGATGTCCCCATTCCCAGTTCCTGGTGTCTCCAACTTGCCCCCAGTCACCCCATCCCTGTCCTCATTCCCAACTACTGTTGTCTTCAACCTGATCCCAGTGTCCCCATCCCTGTCCCCAGTGTCCTTATCCCCCCTGACCCCATTCCCATTCCTGAGGTTCCCATCCCTGTCCCCATTCCCATTCCTGGTTCCCAGAGAGGAACTGCCGGATGCCAGAGGAGGGAACCAGGATTTATTGCCCAAAGCAGGAGATTTTCACACCACAATTAAAGCCTCAGCAATAATTGTGCTCCTGGGTTTCACACATGGAAAAGCAGGAAGTTGATTCATCGGGAAGAGCCGCAGGGGGGCCGGGTTGGGTAGGAACAGCGGGATGAGCTCTGCCAGCAGCTCCTGCCTTTCCGCAGGGAGAGGGAAGGGGCGGATCCAGCTGCATGATCACTTAGGCCGTGATTTCTGCCAGGATGAGAGGGGGGAAAGGAGTCCCCGTGTACCTGTTCCCATCCCAGGGGGATGGATCCGGCTGGGGAGCCCATGGAGAGCAGCAACTGCTCCGAATTCCCTCCTGCTCCTGCTCCATCCATCCCAACCCAATCCCACTCCAGAATCCAGCCCTGATCCCAACCCACAATTCCACCTGATCCCACTCTGCAATCCTGCCCTGAGCTGCAATCCTATTCCAATCCCGCTCCATCCATTATGCCCCCATTCCCCTCTGGAATCCCGGGATCCCTGCAGGGAGGATCTGGATCCACCCACGCTGCTGGTACTCACTGGTGGGTGCAGGGTCGTATCCATTGCCCTCCCTCTTCCCTATGGAAAGAAAGCGGGATCAGCACCCATGGCACAGGATCCCCGGAATGCTGCCGGGCGGATCCGGGCCCCTTCCCGACCCCCATCCCGTGAGTTACCGGCTCGGAGCTTCCAGACACCGACTGCGACGAGGCCGATGATGACGATGATGGCAGCGATGACGGACACAGCGACCAACACCGGGGTGGAATTCCAGATGGATTCTGGCTCTGGGAAGGGCGGGAGGGTGAGCAGGGGGAGGGTTACCCCCATCCCGTCGCCCCACACTTCCAAATTCCTAATTCCCACATGCCCAGTTGCCACATTGCCCGTTCCCAGGCTCACCCCAGGCGAAGATCCCGGGCTCCGGCATTCCGGCGTGCTTCACCTGGCACCGGTACTGCTCCTGCTCCCCCGGCAGCGCCTCGATCCTGGCCCAGCTGTGGAAGGTGCCGTCGCTGTTGGGAACGATCCCGCCCCACTCCGTCTCCTGATCCCGGATTTCATCCCCCTTCATCCAGTTGATCCCGATGATCCCGGGGTAGAATCCATATGCGTGGCAGGACAATGTCAGGATCCCGTGTTCCTCTTTCCCAGACACGTGGACATCAGGGGGCTCTGGAATATGGAATTCCCATGGGACTGGGACAGTAGTGAGATCCATCCACAGAATTCCCATTGGAATGGGACAACCCATGCATGGAATTCCCATGGGAGTTGGATGACTAAGATTCATCCATGCAATTCCCATGAGAATTCCCATGTTCCTCTTTTCCAGACACATGGACATCACGGGGATCTGGAATAAGATGCATCCATAGAATTCCCATTGGAATAGGACAACAGTGGGATCCACCCATGGGACTCCCATGGGAATGGGACTGGGGTGAGATCCACCCACAGAATTCCCACTGGAATGGGACAACAGTGGGATCCATCCATGGAATTCCCATGGGAGTTGGATGACTCAGATTCATCCATGGAATTCCCACAGGAATGCCTGTGTTCCTCAGTTCCACCCTCCCAAATCCCACATTCCCAAATCCCACATTGCCATGGGAATTCTGTCTCCCTCACCTTTGCGCTCCAGCACCTCCTGCCCGTATCCGACATATTTCCGGAGCCATTCCGGACAGGTGTTCCCCAGGTAATTTGTCCAATCGTCCACCGTGATCCCGTCAGATTCCCATTTCCTCTTGGTGATCTGGGCAGCTCCATCGGCTGCCACGAAGCTCCTGGATCCCAGCTCGAAGGAGATGAAATCATGCCCGTCATAGCCGGACCGATAGGATCCACGGACGCTCCCGTCGGACAGGAGGTCACAGCCAGCAAGCCGCTGCCTTGTGTGAAAACCTGGGGGGTGGGATCAGACCCACAGAGACCGCTGGAATTGTGTCCCAGCCCCACGGAGCCCCATTCCAGCCCTATGGAGCCCCAGAGTCAAATGGAGACACACAGAGCCTCATCCCAGCCCATTGGAGTGCCCTGGATCCCCATCCCAGCCCCACACATCCCATCCCAGCCTCACACATCCCTCCATTCCCTGGCTCCCCACACTCACCCCCACTCCAGTTGTACCGGTCCCGCGCTGTCTCCAGGTCAGCAGCAGCCACGATCCGGTTCCTCTCGCTGGTCTGGGTCTCTCCATCCCAATATCCTGGCTCAGGTCCAGCTGCCATCCACGGTGTCAGCGGCTCCGTCCGGCCCCGCTCGCTGTCGTAGCGCACAAAGGGGATCCCATCCACGTATCCCATGGACAGGTATTGAGGGATCCCCGGGCTGGGCTCCGTCACCGCCACATCCAGGTAACGCAGGGAGTGGAGAACTGGGGGCACACGGAGATTTGGAGGGTCCAGAGGGGTCATGGGTCAAGGAAAGGGGGAACTGGGAGAGCTGGGAGAGCCAGGAAGGGGGTTTGGGGATCCCAGGGCCAAGGAAAGGAGGATGTAGGGACTGGGAGAGGTGGGATGGGGCATCCAGGGGTCCCTGTGCCCAGGAAAGTGGGACCTGGGGAGCCCCAGTGTTGGGGAAAGAAGAGTCGTGGGGTGAGGAGACCCAGAATGTCTGGGAAAGGGGGTGCAGGGGGATGTTGGTGTAGGATAAGGGGTCCAGGGGGGCCCTGGTGCCGGTAAAGAGAGTCCAAGGGGTCCCAGAGTAAAGGAAAGGGTGTACAGATGTTGAGAGAGGTGAGCTGGGGGTCTAGGGGGTCCCTGTGCCCGGGAAATGGGGGCCCAGGGGTCCCCAGTGTTGAAGAAGGGGGGGTCACACAATTGGGAGACCCAGGATGTTTGGGAATGGGGGTCCTGCAAATCCTCAGTGTAGAGGAAAGGGGGGCTGGGGGCTGGGAAAGGTGGGATGGCTGGAAAGGGGGCACAGGGGGGTATTGGTGCAGGATAAGGGAATTCAGGGTGGTCCCTGTGCCAGGAATGGAAGTTCAGGGGGGTCCCTGTGCCAGGAATGGAAGTTCAGGGGGTCCCTCTGCCCAGGAATTGCTGTCGAGGGTGTTCCCGGTGCCTGGGACCCCCCTGCAGGAAGCACAGGGAGGGGAGAACTGGGGGGGGTCACAGAGATTGGCAGGTCTGGGGTGTCCAAGGGTCAAGGAAGCGGAACTGGGAGAGCTGGGAGAGCCGAGAAGGGTCCAAGGTTCAAGGCAAGGGGGGGCTGGGACTGGGAGAGGCGGGATAGGGGATCCAGGGGGTCCCTGTGCCCAGGAAAGGGGGGGTCCAGTGGCCCCCAGTGTTCAGGAAAGTCACGTCTGGGGGCTGGGAAAGGCAGGAATGGGGGTCCAGGGGGTCCCAGGGTGAAGGAAAAGGGAGGATCAGGGGGCTGGGAGAGGCAGGATTGCCAGGAAAAGGGGCACAGGGGGGTATTTGTTGAGGATAAGGGGGTTCAGAGGGGTCCTGGAGCCGGGGATGGGGGTGCAAGGGGTCCTGGTGCAGGATCAGGGGTTCAGGGGGGTCCCAGTGCCAGGAATGGTGGTCCAGGGGTGTCTGTGTGACAGATTAGGGGGTGCAGGGGGATCCCTGTGCCAGGAATGGGGATCCAGGGGGTTCCCATACACGGAAATGGGGGTTCAGGGGGTCTTTGTGTTGGAAAAGGACGTTTAGGGGGTCCCAGCTCTGTGGAATGGGGGGCAGGAGGGGGTCCAAGTGCCCAGGAATGGAGGTGGGGGGAATTCCCGTGCCTGGGAATGGGGATTCAGGGGCGTCTCAGTGGCCAGGAATGGAGGTTCCAGTGGTCTCCTTCTGGGAATGGGGGTTCAGGGGGTTCCTATGCCCAGCAATCGGTGTTCAGGGGAGTCCAAGTGCACAAAAATTGAGGTCCAGGGGGTCCCAGTACCCAAAAATGGAGGTTCAGGGGGTCTCTGTGCCCAAAAATGCAGGTTCATGGGGGTCTCGTTGCTCAGGAAAGGAAACTGGGAGGTTCTGGTGCCGCATAAGAAGATTTAAAGGGGTCCCGGTGTGGAGGGAGAGGGTCCAGGGGGGTCCCGGTGCCCGGAAATGGGTGTTCAGGGGGGTTCCCGTGCCCAGAAATGGGTGTTCAGGAGGGTCTCGATGCCCAGGAATCTGGGGGGTCCCGGTACCGCATAAGGATGTTTAAGGGGGTCCTGGTGCAGAGGGAGAGGGTGCGGGGGGGGTCCTGGTGCCCGGGAATGGAGGTTCAGGGGGGTCCCGGTGCCCAAAAATGGGTGTTCAGGGGGGTCTCCTTCCGGGAATGGGGCTCAGGGGGTTCCCGTGCCCAGCAATGGGGGTTCAGGGGGTCCCGGTGCTGAGGGAGAGGGTGCGGGGGGTCCCAGTGCCCGGCAATGGAGGTTCAGGGAAGTGCCGGGGCCCGGCAATCAAAGTGGCCGAGTTGCCCGTTGCGGGGGTCCCACTTACCCTTCGGCTGCCCCCCCAGCCCCCCGGCAGCGCCAGGAGCGCCAGGAGCGCCCCCAGCCCCAGCGCTGGAGCCATCGCGCTGCTTGGCGCAGTTTGGGAGATGGAAAGCGAAAGTGCCCGAGGGAGCGCGGGGGGCGGGCACGGAGGAATTGCCGGGAATTGCCCGCGATCCCCTTCGGGACCCCTCCCGGCACCGCCCCGGGTCCCCCCGCCACCCCCGGGCACCCGGGACGGGCACGAATCGCGGCACCCCCGGCAGACGAGCCCAAACACGGAGCCCCCACCCCCGTCAGCATCTTGGGGGGGCGGCGTCCGGCGGCGGCTCTGGGGGGGTGGGGGGGGGCACGATCCGGGAACGGCGGCGGCTGCCGGGAAGGGACCGGGACGGACTGGGATGGACTGGGACGGACTTGGATGGACTGGAACACCAGGATACACCGGGACCAGGACCAGAACCTCTCGGGACCAGAACTGGGGCAACTGGGATCATACTGGGAGCAATTGGGACTGTCACCCAAGGGCAATAAAACTCCCTGTCACTTCAATGTCAGGATTAGAACGCAGTTTAATATTTTTAAGCACCGGGTGCGTGGGTGGGGTTGGGGGGTCTCCTCCCATCACACACACAGTTGTCTCACACCTGGGTTTCTGTGTGTGTAACTAATACATGGGCATTACAGTTCCCCAAACTCATGCTTATGTACTAACCACTCCCACAACTTCTTGCATGTATTTAAATCACTTCTCAGATCTCCTTTACATCAGAGTAGGGGTCTCTTGAGGGTCTCTGGTGGCCCTTTGGGGAACATCCCTTCTTCAAATTACCCTTCTTTGGTCACAGGCCTCAAAAAACAGTTTCTGCTTCTGGAATGCTTCCCAGCTCTGTGGGCTGGCCAAGATACTCCTTCTTATCAGTGCTGCTCAGGCCCACATGGTTTAGTCTCAGGACTAAGATATCCACCCGAATGCAGCCATGGGTGGATACAGGACTAAGCCCTGTCTGGTCCCACTGAAGGAATTCTCAAGACTTCAACACTAATTGTTGAAATTCAAGATTTTCCCAACATTTCCCCCCTTCTGAGACTTGTTGAAATTTCCAGCAAGTCTCCCTGATAAGCTTTATAATACTTTGGGTTACAAACAGTTCACAGAAATGCAGGAAAGACAATAATCACTGTCACCACAGTCCCTGTAATTCCTGTCTGACCCACTGAGAGGGGCCTGGAAACCAAGATGATCTTTCCCAAAAACTCCCCAGATCCTCAGGAAGTCTCGTCCTTTTGTACTTCATGTAAGACTCTGCCTTGTTCCCAAAAGGTCCAGATTAGTCCCTGCCCCCTGAGTTTGATCTCTGCACACACAGGGACAACTGTTTGTTGTGGCACCGGCCCCGAGAGGCAACAGCAGATCTAAAGGCACTGGTTCTGAGCTGGGATCTGCCCCATTTCTGACACTTCCTTTTGTGATGTCCACAGAGCACTTGCAGTTTGATTTCCAGCTGTTTTGCCTTCTAATTCCCCCGTGCTCTGGGGGAGCAGGAGCTGGGACAGGGACAGACTGGGATGGACTGGGACAGACTGGGATGGAGTGGGACACCAGGATACACCAGGACCAGGACCCAGCAGGACCCCCCGGGAGCAGGATCAGAGCACACTGGAACCCTCCAGGACCAGAACTGGGGAAACAGGGATCATACTGGGAGCAACTGGGACCACACCAAGGGCTACTGGGAGACTCTGGAGGCCACATAGGATATACTGGGAGTGGCTTGGAGCCACTGAGATCATACTGATGGAAACTGGAATGTTACTGGGGCAACTGGGAGTGACTGGGAAGGACTACGAGCATGCTGAGGGCTCTACTGGGATATACTGGGAGTGTCTGTAACCATAGTGGGGGTGACTGGGACCACACTGGGAGCGACTGGGACTGCATGAAGGGGAATTAGGACCAGGTTGGGGGCAACTGGAAGGAACTGTGAGAGACTGGATCTACAATAGAAGCAACTGGGATTGACTGGGACTGTCAGGAGGGAAGAGCGGGATCCTACCTGGAGTGACTGGATCTGTGCTGGGGCAACTGGGAGCAACTGGGACCATGCTGGGGGCAACTGGGATCATACTGGGATCACTGTGGGAGCAGCTTGGCCCATGCTGGGAGCAACTGAGACCCCAGTGAGGGTGACTGGGGTCATACTGGGAGTGACTGGGAGCATGCTGGGGGTGACTGGGACCATGTTGGAGCAACTGGGATATACTGGGAGCAAGTGAGATCATGCTGGAGGTGATTTGGATCATACTGGGAGCCACTGGGAGTGCACTGGGGTTGACTGGAAGTGGCTGTGAGCAACTGGGATCCTGCTGGAAGCTACGAGGGGCAACTGGGAATGAGTGGGACCACACTGGGGAAAAATGGGAGCAACTGGGAGAGACCAGGAGTGACTGGAATCATACTGGGATTGACTGGGAGCATGCTGAGGGTGACTGAGATATACTGGGAGAGACTGGGAGTGACAGGAATCATCCTGGGAGTGACTAGAACCACCCTGGGTGACTGGGAGGAACTGGGACCGTGCTGGGGGCAAATGGCATCTTAATGAGAACTCAACTGGGAGTGAGGGAGTTCATACTGGAGCGACTGGGACCATATAGGGAGTGTCTGGGCTCATGCTGGAATCCTAATGGAATGGACTGGGAGTGACTGGAGCCATACTGGGGGTGACTGGGAGCAAGTAAGACCCTAGCAGAAGTGACTGAATTCCTACTGGGAGTGACTGGGATGGTAATGCGAGTGATTGGGATATATTGGGATCACACTGCTGGTGACTGGAACCGTACTAGGAGCGGCTGGAACTCTACTGGGGTGACTGGGAGTGACTGGGACCATGCAGGATGTGAGAAACAGTCTCTAAATATTCCCCAATTTGTGAGAAACAGAGTCTCAGGATATAATCAGTTCTCAAATTGGAATTTATTATATGATAAAAGCAAACAACATGCTGG